GCTTCCCAGTGTCACATTCAGTGTGAAGGGTTGTTACATTTACTATGAAAGGGTAATCTATTACAAATTACTCATTAATGCAACTGAAAAATCAGTGACATATTACTGATTAAGCCCATGTCACGCTAGCTCAGCGGCAAGACTTGGTTCACGCTGATTTGTCTTGTGCTTTTTACAGCAACCTTTTCAACACAACTTACACGCACACAGGTTCTTTTCTCCTCCTCACCCATATGAGTACACAGCCTTGCTTGTGGTACATGTGCTGCCTCCTGAGTAGTCCACCTGCTTCAACACTTTGCAGCTAAGTACCCAGCTGCAAATTTGAGACCCTTTTACATCCATTTCTGGGAAGTGCTAAGCCTCCAGGCTGTGCCCAGCAGCTCTCTGTGCTGGTAATGCATATGAGTTTTGGAAAGCAACCTCAGCAGCTGAGTCACTGGACTTTCCCACCTCTGCCAGCAGCCAGCTCTGCCCAGGTAAGATCAGCTCTGTCCTGTGCTCCTCTGAGCCCGCTTCCAAAACCTCACCACTTCAGCGCGAATTGCTGGAAGGCCTCTTTGCTGGCTGCAGCCCCTTGGCTCTCCTCCAGAAACAGGAAAAGCTCTAATCATCTTCCTGCTAGTTTGGCACTGCTGGAGTGTTATTGCTGCTTCTGCATGAGGAGTTTTGCCCACGGTGAATATTCCCACTTTAAGCACTCTCATTAAGGAGCCAGGACTTAGTGCAAGATCCTCACACGCAGCCTTGGAGCCCACGTCTGACACGCCAGCCTCAGGACAGGCATGGCTGACCAGCAAGAAGTCATGGGAACAGCTAATGCTCACTAAAGATTTAGTCCTTGATTCATTCATCTTAGCCACTGGTGGGTCTTGAATATAAAGGAATTATGAAACAGGGAGTATTTGACTAACAAAGCTGGGAAGGAAATGGAAAGCACAGATCAGGAGAGCAGCAAAATGAATGCAGTGGGAACAAACAAGGAGCTGCCCTAAAAGAGTTCATTCAGGAGCACCGCAACAGGGTCACAGTAAAAGCAACAAGGAATTGGCAAAGTCTGGAGCAATGTAATAGCTGAGCATGCAGCAGAACTGGGGAGACAAGAAAGCCCAATTCTTGCATTTATAGTCATGGACACAAGGCAATTGTGGCTTGGTGCCACCAGGCAGGTGGAGGCCAATCTGTCTTAGAACAAGGGGTAGCCAACAAGCAGAATGGTTGAATAAGACTCAGTAAAACACTAACGCTACCACACCCCCCGCCCAAAAAATGGAAGAGAAGAGCTCCAGAGGATCCAACAACCAAAATATACCTAAAAACCGTATCAATGACAGAAAATGTGGGAAACATGAGAGAAAGAAGAGGCAGCAGAAATGGACACAAGAGACCTCATAGCATCCTTCCAGTATCTGAAGGGGGGTTACAGGAATGCTGGAATGGACTTTTCATTAGGGACTGTAGTGATAGGACAAGGGGTAATGTGTTAAAACTTAAACAGGGGAAGTTTAGATTGGATATAAGAAGGAAATTCTTTCCTGTTAGGGTGGTGAGGCACTGGAATGGGTTGCCCAGGGAGGTTGTGAATGCTCCATCCCTGGCAGTGTTCAAGTCCAGGTTGGACAAGGCCTTGGGTAATATGGTTTAGAGCGAGGTGTCCCTGCCCATGGCAGGGGGGTTGCAACTTGATGCTCTTAAGGTCCTTTCCAACCCTAACTATTCTATGATCCTGTGATTCTATGCAGAGCAAGAGGTGGCCCAAAGTGGTTTATTCAGGTGATGACTAGAGGCAGTGTGCCGTTGGCATCTGGAGTTGGACATCTCTCTGCCATACCAAACCTTTGGGGTTTCATATGGAGACCAGTGGGTAGGGCTGGCTGGTCTGCTCCTCGCAGGGGGTCAGACTGGATGGGCCAGTCAGATTGCTGCTGCTGGCCCCCCGGTACTGGCCAGCACAGAGGGACACAGCTGCAGGATGCAGCTATGCTCCTTTTATCATCGAAGTCAGATTGTTCCTCCGCGGGGCGCAGGAAAGCTCCACTCTCCAGCTTCGCAATGAGCCACTTCCTTTTCTTCTTTTTTTAGGATCAGAATTTCTTTTCCCTTCCTCCTCCACCTCAAAAAAGCGGATATTAATAATCTGGATCGGAAAAGCTTGCTATCATGAAGCGATGGGTGGTAGCGGTGCTGCACCTACTGACATCACGCTCTCAACCTGGCCAACTCTTCATCCCGTCAGGGCTATTCAGTAAAGTGCAACTAATTATTCTGCCAGATCCTTGACCAGATGACAAATTGATTCACGGTACTAACTAAAAGAAGGGAAGGAGGAGAAATTGCACCATTTCCTATGACTGAAACTACATTAACCTGTTACCCCAAGGAAAACTTTGTCAAGAGTTTTTATTGCGGTGGCTGAGCTATACGCCAGACGCTGAAGTGCATTGCCAGGAGACCCTGGTGTTATGCTATGAAAGTTCATATGCAGAGCACAGTTTGCATTAGATATCCATCAGCGTTCAGAGAAGAAAGGCTTTTTTTCACAACATCTGCAGGGTATCTCATATGTCAGAGGACCTAAAACCATTATCAGAAATGGCTAATTAAAACTTCTATAGAAAATCAAATACATGTTTTTGTAAGCTGACCTGAGGATGCTGAAAACCAAAAGTAACACCAGGAGACCACTGGAAATGAAAGCTTTTACTCAACCTGTCAGTCAACTCACAAGGGAAACTTTTCTTGGGTACTGCAATAAGTCTATAATTACATCATCATGGCAAGGGCACACCAGTGTGCTGCTTATTAATCATTTCCAGGAAGAAGACTATCAGAAAGCTGTTCTTAATAGCCCCACTGCCCGGCAATGCAGGCTCACTTGCTCACTGCAGGGTGGGTACCAAAGGTTTCCTTTGCATTAATCTCCTCTTTGAGCAAATTTCAATCCCTGCCAGAAGCCTGCAAAGGAAATGCACCTTTTCACACGTTCTTCTCACTGGATTATTCTCTGCTAGGAGTGACAGATGCACCCTGTTCAAAACAGTGAGTGCTACCAGATTTTGGTTTTTCTCCTCTGCTCCAAAGACATGTGAGATGCCTTCTTTCCACCAGATCCACAGGGAACACCAAAGTTGAGCATTGCCCAAGCTGCCCTGCACTTGCTACTTAAATTAAGTGACCAAGACTTCTTCACCATACATCATTCTCTTTCAAAACCTTGGACAATGGTGAAAGAGGAAGCGAGAGATGGAGAGAAAGAGGACAGGAGGACAAGTAAAACTGTCGCACCTATCTGGAACCTTAAAGCTTGTATGTGAGAGGCAAGATCTTCTCCATCCACTACACAAAGCAACTGAGAAGAGCAAGGAAATAAAGATAAGCAAGAGGCAAAGCATGTTGGAAAAGAGGAGAGAGATATACACCATACATATAATACCACAGATGGAGCATTATTCTTGTGAATCATGATCCAGAAGAATAATACCCTCAATGGAAGCTATGACACAGCGGTGTGAAATACAGCAGGCTGTTATAATGGCACAGAGTGAAGACCGCAAGCCAAAGCCAGAGCCCTCCCAGCTACCTTCGATTCAATGAGTCCTGTGATCTGCTGCTCCGTTCCTCCAAGGGCTACTGATGCAATGTGCCAGATTCCGTGTTTCTTTCCAACTGTTCTGAGTTTCCTGCATCTGATCTCAAAGAAGGGAGCAGAAACAGCTGGAAGAGAGAAACCAGAATGGCATAGTCCAGCAGCAACCCTTGGAAGAACAAACAATGATGGCCTTGTGAGAGGTACCATTGTCCCCCAGCACGTATGCCTGTATGTGGACATGCGTCCACATGTCTTCTAGAAGAAAAACATGTTCCTAGTGCATCAGCTCTGGCTGGTCACAGAGCACCAGAGCATCTTCTGAGGTAGCATGATCAGTTCAAGCTGAACAGACCGATAACTCAACAACAGCCACGATCCACAGTCATGGGTGCCAAATGAGTCACGCGTGTTAAATGAAGCCTGAGTTTGGCACCACGCTTCTCCTCCAGTGGTACCTTTACTCCCTGAGTAACTCCACCTACTTTGCAGCACATGAGCGGCTTGCAGCCTGCACAAGGGAAGCCAGTCAAGGTCTACTCTGTTTAGACTTTAAAGCTCCTGCAGATCTAGCTGCAGGCCAAAGGAGGAGGGAAAACAGTAGGTGAAACAGCAGAGAACTTAGTTATTTGCTGCCAAAGGAGAGGATTAGTTGTGAAAATCAGGAAGTCAATGAAGCAGAGAGCAGCAGGAGGCCACTGCAGAAAATAGGGACAGTAGGAGCAAGGCTATTGCTCACCAAGGCAAGTGAAGGGGAGATAAAGCCTTGTGCTCTTTCATATGTGCGATGACTAGAAAGAAGGAGCGAGGAGGTGAGGGAGATGGTGCTGGTGGAGAAAGGGCCATGAGGGAAAAAGGCCTTTGAAAATGAACCATGGAAAAGTGATTAATAAGGGAAGAACTGTCAGGCTTGGTGTTAGGACCTTCTCATTTCCACTAGAAAGAAATAACACACTGCAAATCACAAACACATTTGGGAAGGGAAGACCAGGAGCACAGCAAGACCAAGAAGTCATTTAAAGGACAGAAAGAGAATTTCAGACAGAGAACAAATTAGATTAGGATGGTTAGAAATTACACGTAGGAGAGGACACAAAGCAAGTTGAAATGTTCATGGGATATTTAAGGCAAGACAGCCCAACGGATCTCTTGCCAGCCTCAGCAGGGATGAAACGGAAACCTAACATTTTTCCTGACCACAACTTCCTTCTAACCCATTACTAGAAGCACAGGCACACCACATCTCTCCAGGACAGCAGTACCACCACGAGCCCGGTCCTTGCTCACACAGCACCATTTCTAGAGGGATCCCTCAACTCTACATCCCTTGTGCCCCACCCAAACCTACTGTTTTTACTGCATGAGTTCCCTTTCATAGGTGCCAAGTCACCAAGAGCAGTAACAGAAAGCGTACCTGGAGTGTCACAAGTCTGCCTGTCCCCCGAAGAGTTCATTGGAGGTGTCCGGTGTCGGTAGACTAGATGTGGTTTATTGTGCTCTTCTTCGTACTCCTGTTCTTCGAGTGATAGCAGTGGCTCTACAAAATAGTCCCCATCGTCAGACTTGAAGGTGCCTAGCTGAGAGGGACCAGAGAGGAGCAGGGGGTTAGCTTTGGGCAATGACAAACCATGGAGCAGGACTACCCAATGCAATGAGTGGTTAATGAGGGAGTGCCGGGTTCTGCAGTAACCCATGTGAGCTTCAGGTCCCATCACACCAACAGCAGCCTGCACTGCACCCTGCAGCCACCCCACTGCAACTTATGGGAAGCAAATTACTAATCCATAGGTCAGAAGCACAGGAGAGGCATGTCTACCAGACCCTGTTCCTGTGCCATTTCCCACACCACCCCCACCCAAGGGGAGATGGTGCTGCAGTATGGTGGAAGTCTCAGTGCAACTCTATGTTGGTTGTGCTGGTTTTCATACAGCAGCTCTCCCTGAGACAGGCTTTCAACACACATGTAAGGACCAGAGGGAGGTGTCCAGCCACTGAAATCCCAGCTCATGATAAAATACCAACACTCCTAGTTGCATGCGACTATGAACATAGGGATTTGATGGGTAAACCAGATATCTAAGACTAAAAGCCATCCTACACTGGGATGCATGACCAGTAACTGGTAGGGAGGCATGCCCATGCACACACACGTGCACTAGCCGGGGTGGACACACTCAGGGGAGCAACCGACCAGCTGGATACCAGCAGAGACCCCCCTGGGCACACCTGGGATAGGCACCGAGGGTGTTATAAGGCACCAGAAAGGTCAGCCCTGCTGGGACCTTCTGCTCATTCCTTTGCTAACATTCCCCTGCAAAGCAGGGCACCAAGAGGAGCTGCCAGGCATCCATTCATCACCCGCCGGGGCATGCCCTGGGGTGCAGGATGGCTCTGGGGTCAGCGCTGTGGGGAGCCTCCATCACCCCTTTGCAGCCCTCGCCAGCACTCCGGGGACAGGAGGGTGTCCATGGCCCGGGTCTGACCCGCTGACCTTCCCGCCGGGGTGCCACTGGGTGGCAGTTCCTCCCCCCAAACCCGCGGAGCACCCTCTGCCGGGACTCCACGGAATAATGCAAGCGGGGTGGAAGTAACCCCCGACAGGGGCGAGCCGGCGCCGCCAGCCCCATTCCGCGGGGCGGAGGGAAGGGGCCGTCCCCATCCCAGTGCCCACCCCTCCCTCGTCCCGCTCCTCCTCCGTGCTTCCGCCCCGGCGCGCCGCCGCTGGGCGCCCGGCGGGACCGGGACGCGGGTCTCACCATCCCGGAGCAGAGGCTGATAACGGCGGTGTGCCGCGGGCGGGCGTTGACGTGCCCCCGGTAGAAGCAGTGCTTCACGTCGGCGTTGGCCGCCTCGGCGTACAGGCGCCGCTGGTGGGCGGCGGGCTCTCCCAGGAGGCTGACGGTAAAGAGCGGGGCGATGAAAGCCGAGCTGGCTGTCAGGTTGAAGAGGAACTGCTGCCCGAAGGCGGAGAGCCTGTAGTGTGCCTTGTGGGAGGCGGCGGAGGCGGCCATCCAGGCGTCGGGGGCAGCGCTGGTGCTCCGCCGCCGCCGCCTGAAGTGGACATCGGTGGGGAAGGGCTCGCCGAACTCATTCACCCGGGTAGGAGTCACGATCTCGTACTCGCTGAGCTTCTCCAGCAGCTTGGCTGCAAGGGAAGAGAACCACACGCCCCTGAGTGGGGAGGCCGAGCCCCCTACCCCCTGGGGGGGCAGCACACCAGCACCCTCCCAGTACCCCAACCCCAGCACCCCCTTACCTTGCCTGGGGTGCAGCTTCTGCCTCCTCGCTCCTATCCTCAAGCCGTCGATGAAGAGCGTGGTGAGTGCCAGCGCCAGCGGCGCCAGCTGCATGGTGCTGCGCGCTGTCCTCAGAGGAGAGCAGCCTTCCCCGCTTCCCTTGGCTTTTCTTTTCCTCCTTCTTCTTCCTCTCGTCCCCCTGCCCCCGCCCCCCCTTATGTTTTTTATCCTTACTTTTTTTCTTCCTTCTCGCCCCCTTCTCCCCCCTCCCCGCCCCCCGGAGCGCGGCCGGGGGAAGGCGCCGGAGCCGGGCGGCGTTAGGGGCGGGCGGGCCGGAGGGGCGCGGGGCGCCGGGGGCCGCGCATGGTGCGCGGGGGGCGGACGGGCCGGGACCGACACCGACGGGCCGGGACGGGGGATCCGGCCGCCCGCCCGCCTGCCTGCTTCTCCCTCGCTTTCCGCCTCTCCCCCCGTCGGGCTGGTGGCCGGGGCGCTCCCGGGAGCCAATTTAAGGGGCTGGGCTCCATAGATCAAGCAAGAGGAAAGATCCCGCCCTGCAGGAGAAGGGACAGCCCTTCCTCTCTCTCTTTCTCCCCCCACTTCCAACATGTCACTTTCTTTCATTCCCGAGGAACGCCGGAATCGCAGGTTTTCGCCAAGAAAAGCCCTCGCTGCGGCGGGACGGGATGGGGCGGGTTGCGGGGGGCTCTGCCGCGGCCCCCGCTGCTCCTCACCGATGGATTTAAGAAGGCAAAGTGGCCTGGGCGTAGCGTCACCGGCTGCTGCTGAGCTGCAAGGTCCTGGGGGAAGAGCGACCCTGTCACTCGCCGAGAGGAGAGCCGAGCTTTCTTGCATAATTGATGATTTTCCTTCTTTAAAGCATTCTGAGGGAAAGGAAAGATTATTTCCTTATCTGAGTTTATTTTGGTTTACAATTTGGAAGTTTTTCTATTGAAATCTAAGACATCCTTCAGAGTTCAATGTAATTAAACATTGTCTTCTACCCTTCCTTTAGCCAAAACCCCAAACCTTGGTTTTAAGTTGTTCACTTTCTTCACTTGACTTTGGGACAAAGAACAGATGAGTGTTTGCTGCAGGAAGGTAAAGCTTTAAAATACATCAATTCAGAATCCACTTCTGGCCAAACAGCACCTCCTGGCTCTTTTAAACTAACTGGTAAAGCCCTAATAAACCTCAACCAATAGCAGTAAATTACTAATTTGGTACAATGAATATAAAACTCAAAATAAGCAAAGCATCACTTGCAAAACCATATGTCATTAACTGCTCCTGGGCAGGCCCTCAGCCACAGCTCAGCACAGCAGGGCACAGTGCAGGAATCTCCATGCTGGTGGAGACCCAAGTTAAGTTATCACACCTTTAGGGCAAGGCACATAACCTTCCAGTGTGGCATTGTGCCCGCTCTTACAAACCGTGTTTAATTCAAGTCTTGGATGCTTACAATAGATAACTCACCCGTGTTGGCTTCAGGGGCTTGACAAAGCTGGGATGCTTCCAGACTGAAGTTGCCTCGCATGCAGCCAGCTCCAAGAGCAGCATTGGGTCTTCTCACTATGTCCAGTCTTAGGCTGGTGTGAGCATGGCTGTGGCTGGGTGATGGTCCCCCAGATCTGAGGAGCAGAGAGGCATCTCCCTGCTTCTACTCTGGGTGTGCAGGAGCAGTGACGTGCCCATTCTGGTACATGCTGTCCTCTGTCAGGAGCAGCTCTTCCCTATACAATTCTCCATGCACTCACCTGCTCATGAGCAGACCTGGACCAGATTTGCTTTCAATGACACAAAGAGCTGCACAAGTAACATCTTCCTATCCTTGCAGCTAATTGCTTGCTCATCCCCCTATGTTAAGAAAGAAACCCTCAGAGGAAAGACTAGACTGTTCTAAAATAACTTCAATCTGCAAAGCCTGCTGAGGCTGCCAGGCAAACTCCTGGCTTGCATGGCCTTTCCTGTCTCGGCATGAAAGAGTACGGGCATTCCCACCCGTCCCACACTGAGCTGTGGCCTGATTGAGTCGGAAAAGCCACCAAGGTCCTTGGGCTGCTGGATGAACAAAAAGGGGAATCTCAACATCATTACTTAGCAGCCCAGGAATCCACGCCAGGCATGTTTTCTTGCTCTGATTCTTCATGCTTTCTGTCTCACCATCAAATAAATGACTTAACTCACAGCAGAAGTAATACCTGTTCCCTGAGCTGCAGTGTTGCTCCACTGGGCTAGTGGGAGCATCCTGTGCATTCCAGGACCTTCCCACAACTTCCATGTGCTCCCCAAACTTTCAGACTTCATAGGAAGAGGGATATAAGAGTGCTTGGAGCTTGGGATAATGCCCCACAAGTCATGGCAAAGGAGAAGGAGGCCATGTCCCATGCTCAGGTGGGTGCAGAAAGGTATCCTTGAAGTACCAGGGCGGGCCAGCTCTGCCTGTTGGGTGTGTTGAGCCATATCAAGCAAAGGGGGAGTGAGGAAAAGTGAACAGAGTTGCCTGAGGAAGGAGAGTGAAAAGCTGAGCATAGCATTAGAGCTGAGTCAGAGGGGAGGGGAGGAGGCTTACGTGGAGCTAGTCCTGCAGGTATCCTGGGGGAGAGGGGTGCAGCCTTCCCGCATCTCCTCAATCCTCAGATCAGGATGGTGTTGGGAAACGGGTCTGCTGCTGTTTTATCTGGGTTGCGGAGTGCCCCAGGGCAACCACGGTCTCCATTTCACATCCCACATCCCACTGCTGCAAACCTCGGTATCCCTTCATTGGTACTGGTGGGAGCTGCCTTGCTTCTATTCAGTTGCTGACACAGGAAAACCTATCAAAGACTTTTCAACTCAGTTTTCTACAAGATAACCAGTTATTTTGGCTCTGAGGTGGGGTTCAAAGGAGCTCAAGTGCTGTCACAGGGTGAGAAGTGGCAGCACCTACCTGTGACTTGGCTGGGTCACAGGTGGGTCACCCTGTTCTTGTTGGCACTGAGCTGAATGGAGTAAGGCTGTCTTGAGGAGGAGCACCCTCACAGTCATGCTCACTGATCTGAAACCCTGGCACATACAGACATGAGGATAGGCAAGAGACAAACCCCCTCTATCTTTCAGAAGAGGGGAGCTGAAGCATGGAGGGACTCATTAGATCTCAATTATGGAGCAGAGTTGAGAGCAGACTGAAATTTACTCCTGGGACCAAATCCTGACTTTGCAATAGTCCTAAACATGCTCTAGCACCATGGCATTACTTACTTACAGTGCCATTTCCACCAACAAACCTAAGAGTTGTATGGTGTGCAGCTTTTGAATCTTTACAGCTGACAATTAGGAAGTGCATCAGGAAAGACGAAGTATGAGTAAACTGATTATGTGGAGTTTAGAGAAACTAAGCTACAATCTTAAATTCAAATGACTTCTCTATTAGGAAAGATCTATTAATACTTACGGTATGGTAATTGCGCAGACTCCAAGCTCTTACCCAGTCAGAAGTAACCTCTAAGAGCCCATACCAACCCATGGAAAAATCTCCTTAAAACACCGCAAGTCTTACCTATGTAAATACTGCAAAAGCTGAGCTGCAAATGCCTCTTCTCTAAACTACAAAATGAGAACTTGACCACAACAGCGGAACTTCAATAGGAGATTTAAAGCAGTGCGCACTGCTGCAAGAATACACTCGAGGAACCCAAATTTCCTGATGTTTTTGCACTGCTTTTCACTCCAGTTAGTGTTTCCTTCCCCCTGTGTGTAATCTCCAGTCACTAATGTTTGTTCTTTGCTGCTGAGCGTCTCCGGGGTAAGCATCATCTTCCTTTATCTGCTGCATCCACTCTCTTGCTCAATGACTATCCCAGAAGGCAGACTGTTTCCCTTGATGGTTGCTCTTCAATGCCACAAGCTAACTGAAGATAGCCAACATTTTCTCCTTCCATTTAATCTGTGTGGTCAGAAAGTGAAAGATTTAATTTCCTTTTAACAGCTTTGCAGACTGGGTTTCAGCCTCTCTTGCTCATCTGTCCTAACAAGGATACCTTGTGCTGCCTTTCTTTCAGTTTAGGAAGGTGTTCTGCTCACATAGAATGGAAAGGACCTTAAGATCCGCAAATTCCAACCTCCTGCCACAGGCAGGTATGCCTCACACTAGACACAGACATAAGAGACTGTCCAACCTGGCCTTGAACACTGCCAGGGATGGACCATTCACCACTTCTTTGGGCAACCTGTGCCAGTGACTCACCACCCTCACAGTAAAGAGCTTCTTCCTTGTACCTAACCTGAGCTTCCTCTGTTTAAACATATTATCCCTCATCGCATCACTACAGTCCCTGATGAAGAGTCCCTCTCCAGCATCCTTGTAGGCCCTCTTCAGATACTGGAAGGCTGCTATGAGGTCTCCACGCAGCCTTCTCTTCTCCAGGCTGAACAGCCCTGATGTTCTCAGTATGTCTTCATACAGGAGGTGGTCAGGCCCCTGATCATCCTTGTGGCCCTCGTCTGGGTCAAGCTGTGCAACTCAAATGTCCTCCCAGCCAGTGAATTGCAGCAGGAGCTGTGTGCTGTGGGAGCAAGCTGGGTGCAGTAGAGATGCAAGTCTAACCCTCTTCTTGCAGTCATCAGCCCTGCTCCTCGCCTGGGTGGGGAACTATCATTTGGGAACAGGAGGTGAAGGAGGAAAAGCAAACAAGTCATATTGCTCCACTCACATGAAAGGAAACTAGCTCTCTGTTTGCCTGGAAACTACTTTGACCCTGAAAAACAGACAAATGAGTAGGGATGAGGGACTGGGTGGGAGGAACAGCAAAGCCCACGTAGGCACTGGAAGTGTGTGGGATTTTCGGCTTCAGGTCAGCATGGATGGACATAATGATCCCTTGAGCGTTTCCACTTAAAACTGCTGGTTCCAGCTCGCCCCTCCCCTCTTCCCAGCATTGTGCAGACTTTTGCTTGCACCTCTTATCTGCCTTGTGGAAAATGCATGCTCAGAGTAGCCTAAGTTCTGAGTCTTGCTGCAGCCTGGCAGTTCCACTGGCCTGACAAGCATTTATAGATCCCTACCCTTTTTACTACAGGTAGCAATCTGGTGCAGGTCCTGAGCCAAGAAACACTAAATTCTGGACATTCCCATTTTTGTGCAAATTAAGCCATCAGGCTAAACACAAGATTGGTTTACTCTTTGTGTTTGACAGGCTATAAATCAAGCAGGACCTGAATACACTCCTTTTGACTTCTGATATTATGTACATATGCATCTGTGCTGTGTTCCAGGTGCCTTTGCCAAAACGTTAACAGCAATACTAGCAGGACTAAACAGAACAGATGTTCCGTAATCCCACACCAAAACGCAATCTGGGAACACTGGGAGTTCTGCAGGTACAAAAAACTTTACCCCTCGAGCCATGTACTTTTATTCACATGAGCTAATTATCATAACAGCCTTGTGAGGTATCACCATTACCTTATGAAAAGGAGAATGAGATGGGCAGTTTCGCCGAGGACACAGTCATGGTGTTCTGACCCTGGGATCAGTTCCACCCTCTCACTGAAGCCTGCATGCAGTCTCAGTGTACAATGTAATATTTCATTGCAGGGATCATTAAGCTGTAAAACTATTTTAGGAGGGTTGTTTTAATTCTTTTCCCCAAATAGCAGATTGTCTTTAGAGATAATAAAATACAAATATCCATTAGAGTAGGGAAAAAGCTCAGCAGCTTTACAGATACAGGCTCAAGAGGTGGGCCAATGTAAACCTCAGCAAGGCTAAGTGCAGGGTCCTGCACATGGTTTCAGGCAATCCCAAGTACAAATACAGGCTGGGCAGAGACTAAATTGAGGAGAAGGACTTGGGGGTGTTGGCTGATGAGAAGCTCCCCAGACCTGGCAATGTGCACTTGAGCCCAGAACCCCCTTGTGTGCTGGGCTGCATCCCCAGAGCATCAGCAGCAGGTCAGGGGAGGGGATTCCCCTCTGTTCTGCTCTCCTGAGAGCCC